CATCACTGACCAACACACGCACGGATCTGCAGATAGAATGCCCATCACTGACCAACACACGCACGGATCTGCAGATAGAATGCCCATCACTGACCCAACCATGCATGGATCTGCAGACAGATCACTCGTGAATTCTGAGCTGGGCAGAGCTTTGCTTGGAGGCAGTGTTCACAGAGGACACTGCTCACCACTCCCAGCTAAGTCCAGACAACTTGGGTATCTGGAGTCAGGGAAGCCCTGCAGCTACTCACGACACCCGTGAGAAGCAAGAAGATGGCGTATGATGATGAAGACTGGTGTATTCATTCACACAGGTCAACTGTGCTCAGAGACTAGCTTTTTTTTTTTTTTTTGGTCTTTTGTTTTTTGTTTTTTTGAGACAGTCTTACTCTGTCACACTGGTTAGAGTGCTGTGGCATCACAGCTTACACCAACCTCAAACTCCTGGGCTCAAGTGATCTCCTGCCTCAACTTCTTCCCAAGTAGCTGGGAAGATAGGTGCCCACCACAATGCCCAGCTAATTTTTCTGTTTTAATAGAGATGGGGGTCTCACTCATGCTCAGACTAGTCTCAAACTCCTGAGCTCAGGATATCCATACGCTTCCACTTCCCGGAGTGCTGGGATTACAGGGGTGAGCTACCACGCAGGGCCCAGAGATGAGCTCAACAGAGCCTGTCCTGGGGAGGCTGCCAGTCTTCCCAAATTCTGAATTAAAAAAAAAAAAAGTCAAAGTAAGTAAAAATGTGCTTATGTAGCACATTCTTCTCTCAATTTGACGAGAAATCAAAAGTGATTCTCTTTAAAAGTTAATGTGCTTTTCTTGTAAATCTGAAGTTGGATTTAACAACAACAACAAAAAGACAAGAAACAAAAATGTGCAGCTTAATCATGGGAGTAGGGACTGCACCACGTCAGAGCTGCCAGTCGGCCTCTGTGGGCACCAGCTTCCTTCCTCCACTGGCCCGGTCCATGTCTGGACAGTGCATAACGAAATACCACAGGCAGTGCTGGGAGCTTTAGAGCCGATTACTACACACCCAGCAGGCCAGGATCTGCGTAAGGCGCACAGGCCCAGCCTCGTGAGCTGAAAGTTGTGTGTCCAAGGGTAACATGGTAAGGGGGAACTGAAAGCTAAGCTGTGCCCGTCTACGAACCCTTCCTCAACCTCCTCCACGCTCTGTCAGAAATGTAAATCAACTGTGTGCTGGCTGGTGTAGCGCTATCGGTGATGACACAGTTTATGAAACACGATAGAAATGGCGGCTGTCATGCTGGTCAGTGGGATGTGTGCCCCCTTGTTTCCCCAACCTTTCTGTAGGGCTCGACTCCAGAAAAAAGTCAGTGCCATGTGTGAATTATTCATGAGCACTGTCTGGGCTCCCAGTCGGCCAGGAAGCCCAAGACAAAGGAATGCACAGTCTTTTTCCCCTTGGCAAAGCTGACCCGATGAAGGCCCACGGCCCAGCTTACTCTTCTTGGCTTCTGGGCCGTGGCTGGTTCCAGACCTTCCATCCCAAGGCAAAAGGGCAGGGTCTTCTCTTGCTGAAACCGGAGAACTGGGCTTCTATTCCTCCATGAAATACAAGTAAGTGTATCCGAGAGTGAGGGTCACAGTTATGTGAACGTGCCTGGCCTGTGCCCGCTCACCCAGGGACAGTCACCCGAGAGAGAGGAGGAATTCCTATCAGAAGGAGGTGGTTAAGGCACCACATTCTAAAGCTCCCTTAGCACAGGGATTCTCAACAGGAACCACAGAAACTATATTAAAGGGCCATGGTGTTAGGAAGGCTAAGAACCACACCATTAGCAGGAGGTACCATCTCTGTAACTTGCTGGAAAATGAACCCACCACTCCTTCCCCTCACAGAAAAAGAACCCAAATGAGAACTCTATGGATAGGACAGGGTGGCTTCTGGAGGATCATCTGAGCTCTCATAAGTCTGTCCAGTGCACGAATGATAAACAAGGCTGTCTGATGCTTCTAAGTCTCTCACTAGGCTCCAGTGTCAAACTCACACCCTCTGTGACCCAAATATGCCCTTTACTGTGTGTGAATACCAAGGTCTTGGCTTTCAAAGGCTTATCCTTAAGACTCTGCTCCCAGCCAGTACACTGAATGGAATTAAATTACCCTGTGAAATAAATCCACAGGATAAAAATAGCATTTGAATCTATCCTAATTAAACGTGCTCCTTTCAAAGTCAACTCTATCAGTTAGACCCTGAATATGGGATTCAAGTCCAAGAGTCAAGTAAAATCAATTCTCAGAACTGAACCACAGACACCATGCATTAAAATAAAACTTCTCAAGACGTGGGCTGACACTGCTTCACAGACTACCTTAGGTTACAGTGTCCATCTGCCATATTTTTCAAGACAAATGAACACACGGATCAAGAAGTAGTAATATCCAACACAAGAAGACACTCACTGCCTGCACCAAGGCTGAAAGCTGGGGCCGAGTGTGGTGGCTCAGACCTGTAATCCCAGCGCTGTGGGACTGGTTGAGGCAGGAGGACTGCTTGAGGCCAGGCATTTGAGAAGAGCCTAGAAACATGGTGAGGCCCCATCTCAACAAAAATTAGACTATCTAGGTGTGGGGGCACATGCCTGTAGTCCCAGCTACTTGGGAGGCTGAGGCAGGAGGATCTCTTGAGCTCAGGAGTTTGTGTTTACAGTGAGCTGAGATGATGCCACCACACTATAGCCTGGGTGACAGCAAGACTCTGTCTCAAAAAAAAAAAAAAAAAGAGATACTCTATGTCTCTGAATATTCAATAAAACTTGAGTTTAGAACATACTGATTTTCCTCACTCTGCCTGATTTTTATGAATTAAAGTCATCTTTTTTTTTTTTTTTTTTTTTGCAGTTTTTGGGTGGGGCCAGGTTTGAACCTGCCACCTCTGGCATATAGGGCCAGCGCCCTACTCCTTGAGCCACAGGTGCCGACCAACTGTGGTTAAATTTTTAGTTCACTACCAGTTAGCAGACTGGTTACTAAACCTTCTGAAATCTTTGATATTCAACTAAACAATGCAAATTATTATTGTTATATAAGAACATTATTAGGAAGATTAAGCGAGAAATGCAAGTCAAGTGCTGGTCCCATAATAAGTGCCCAATTCCTTCAGTGCTTAATTGTTGTTAATGTTATTATTTTGGTTTGCAACAGAAATCCTTTTCAAGTAGGGAAGTCATAGTTCTTAAAAACTGAACATGGTGGACAGGGGCTTGCACCAGTAATCTCAGACACCTGTGGAGGCAGAGGCAGGAGGACAACTTGAGTCCAGGAGTTTGAGACCAGTCCAGGCAGCACAGTGAGACCCCTGTTTTTTTTTTTTTTAATTAAAAATTAGCCAGGCATGGTGGCATGCGCCTGTATTTCTAACCACTCAGCTACTGAGGAGGCTGAGGCAGGAGGATTACTTGAGCCCAGGAGTCTAAAGCTGCAGTGAGCTTTGATCACGCCACTGAACTTGAGCCGGGGCAATAGAAGGAGACACCCAACTCTATTAATAAAAAAAAAAAAATCAAATGTAGAAAAGTCTGTCTTTGTGGGAGCCAAGGAGAGGTGACCTAAGCAGAGTTCACCACGTTGAGCCTGACACCAATCCGGGAAGGACTCTTTACCCCCTGCCTCGACAGAGATGGTACCAGCAAATTCCACAAATCATTCACCAGCAAGAAAGAAAGCAGACAGGGTCAATGCTATGCTAGAGCCACCAGGAGAACACCACAGCCTGGTCACAAAAACCCAGAACACAAGCTGCTGAATGCAACCCATGGCAGCCCCCGGACTTAGGGATGGGCAGAAATGCCAGGCCACCCTCAAGCAGAGGACTCGCACTGGTGTCAACAGGGCCTGGCCTCCCTCCCAACCCCCCTCTGTGCCCCCTCTCGGCTCCACAGTGTCTTGGGTCTATGACAAAGGCCTACACGTAGGTGAGGCTTTGGGGCTCTGTGCTGGGAACTCATCAGAAGAAACTTCCAGAGTCCTCGCTCCACTTTCACTGCCCTCCTCCTCCTTTCTGGCACAGTCTGCTGGTCCGACTGCGTTCTTTAAAGTCTTACCACTCACTCTTTTCTTATTTTGACTCCCAGGAGATTTAAAAATGTTCACTGTTTTTAAATCTATCTTACACTTTAATAATGATGTTGATACTGTCATGAGTTTACATAAAAGAATACGCATTCAGCCAGGCTAATAAAACAGCAAATTCCTATCACTGAACTCTTCACTGTGGCATTCACACTTCCAGAAGAAAAGGATTTTTCTGGAAGAAAAGCAACAATTGCATCTCAAAAGAAAAAAAAAAAAGAGTCTATGAGGTGACCAGGTTATAATGTGATTTAAAGGGGAGGAAAACACTGACAATAAGAGAAAAAAGAAAAAGAATAAAAATTGTCTGTTATCCACTCATGTTCACCTGCCCAACTTTTCTCTGACTCAAGTTTCATTCGCTATCCCCTGAGTTCTGAGATCTAAAACCGTCAACCAGATTTTGAGCCCATTCAAAGGACAGTGTACTATGATCAAAAGATTGGGTGTCAAGAAATGGAATCAAATGATACTCAGAGCTCACAATTCTTATTTATAGCAACATAGGGTAACAGTCACCCACACTTTTCAGGTGAGGTGTGGATTCCTAAAACTCAACCGACCCATGATTAACTGATTTACTTGAAATGTTAAGATGAGAAAAAAAACAAACAAAACGGGTTTAGACCTTGCGGGGCCTGGCTCTGCTCCACCAGGCCCACGAGTAGTCTCTCCGCAGCCTCTCAGGTCTGCGTGGATAGCAAAGAGGGCAACTTTGAGTTGGAGCAAGTGTTCGTTACTACGTTACACATTTAGCCTAACGGATACTTAGAACTTGTGACTTTAATTCTGAAAAGATTTCAGTTGATCATCAAGGGCAGTAGAAGGATGGATGAAGCCAGGAGAGGGGGCAGGGCACCAATGAGGAGAAGAGACCCCAGCGACCCAAACTCACCGATAGATGATCCCTTTCTCGTGGAGGAACATGAGCGCGGAAATGATCTCCGCAGCGTAGAAACGAGCTCTCGCTTCGTCAAAGCGACGGGACTTCTGAATGTGGAACATCAGGTCGCCCCCATTCACAAACTCCATCACGAAGAACAGGCGGTCCTGGAGGAAAACACAAGAGGGGCCCCAGTGTGGTGTGGCCATCGGCAGAGAGGTCAGTGGCGTCACACTCCCAGGGCATGGCCTGGGGGGAGAGAGTGCCAAACGCAGATGTTCAACCAAACATCCTGACCGCGGGCTGGGAGCAGTGCTCTGGGGCCTCCTGCAGGTAATCCCGCCCAACCTGGACTTCCTACATGAAATCAACACTACAGACGGCATCAGAAGCCCGTGGTTCTGGGTCAGCTCTGCATCCTGAAGGCCATGGAACTGGACAGAGCAGCATAAAGTGAAAGGCTGAGTGACTTTCTGTAGGTGGTTGGTGCGCACAGTGAGCACAGAGCACTCACCAAGAGGCCCCAGGAGCAGAAAGCCCTTCAGACAGGTTGGCCAGACGGAAGGCGAGGGGCAGCCCCTGAGGAGCCGCCTCCTGGGTGGAAATTCCATTCGGCCTATCAAAGGATTACAGCACAGGAGTGAGGACGCAGACAGGGCGAGATGCCACCCCACCTGACAGTCCCCTTAACCAAGCAGGTGGAATGGACTCTAACAGTTACTGTGCAGTGTATTTAGTAGACGAGGGGTATGAACAGAGGGCTGGGGAAACTAGGACTGCTTAAGGAGAGAAATTAAAAAGTGATGTCCCTAAAATTTATGGGGTAAAACATTTTGTTTCTGGGAACCTTGATGATCAAGTGGTTTCTTTGCTCTCATTTATGAAGATCATGGGCAGCTGGTACTCGGGAGCCAACAGAGAGTCTAGACAGAGTTGAGTGCATGTTACTTAAAAGAAGTCACGTAAACAAGCAAATCTACCAGTCCTGGTCCAGTGAAGAAAAAGTGGAGGAAGTGTGACATTTGGTCATAAGCCTGGGGCTCAAGGGAGGTCTCCAAGCTGGTGCAATGTGAGCCTGGCTATAGCAGGAGTGCATCCATTCCACACAGGGTCGGGGGTGTCCTCTGTGGGGGCTGCAGGGCAGGAGGTCATTTTGTGAGGAAACTGGTATTCTACCAAAGGATGTGGATACACCCAGCCGTGTGTTTTGTGCAGGTGTGGTAGGTGCCACTGACTTTGCCCAGAGGGCTTCTATACAGTCACGCTGAGCCGGGGGCAGAGCGCCAGGCCCACACCTGCTTACCTCCCACTGCGTTATTTCAGTCACCAAGCAGATGCCTATCAGAGGACAGTTCAACTTGGGTGCACCTCATCCCTAATTTAAGTAACACTTTAATTACAAGGAGAAACATCTCCTGGACCTGTTAGACATCTCTCTGCTAACAAGAAGCAAGACTGGGAATAAAGAGGGAGGGGCAAGAGTCAGAAAAACAAAAGCCCCACCGCCACCACGCAGACCTTTAGGGTGGCCGCTGCACACCAGCGGGGAGCTGTGCAGAGCCAGCAGCTGCCAGACTAAGCTGCTGGCCTTCATCTGCAGGTGCCTGACAAGGCCAGAGGCCGAAGTGGGTGGGTTGAGCTTTGATGAGCAATGCTTGTCCTGTGTTTTCTAAATGGGAAGGACTCAGATGGAATTAGCAGGTGAGTAACAGGGCGGGGTGAATAAGTGCACCAGAGACACCTCAAAAAGCCACAAATGCACCCTAAGTTATGTTGATGCTGCGTCCATTTGGAGTGGTGGCCACAGTGGCGAGGAGGTGAGGACTAAGGTGGTAAAGTCACCTGAACCATCCCTCAGCAAGGAGGTTGGCCACGCACATTTCTGTCACCCACACTATTCACATTTTTCATGCATGTCACTGGCAGTCCCATGAATTCCAGTTGCCCTGAACACCTGACTGCTGCACCTGTGTCAGCAGGTGGGTGGCCGTCCCCTAGGGCTGTCAGTGCACTTGGTGCATCAGAAAAATAAGGGTTCCATGGAAAATGTCACCATTTCCCAATCACACACACACTAAATTCCCAAATCTATCATCTCAAAGCCGAGGGTGATTGGTGGGACCACGCCTATGGTTCATCTTACAAGGGTACATGTAACTCTTTCCAAGTGTAGAATATAAATGTCTTAACACAATAACTAAGAAAAATGACAAGACTAGGTTAAACAGTTTGATGAAAATATTTCAGATTGTATATAGAACCAGCACACTGTACCCCATGACTGCATTAATGTACACAGCTATAATTTAATAAAAAAAATAATAAAAGCCAGATTGTGGGCTAAACTCCAGATGCAGAGAGAGAAATCCTGCCCTCCGGTCTCGCTCCTTCTCTCCCCTCTCTGGCCAAGGTCATGGAGGGTGATTCTCCAGAACACGCAGAATCTGGCAGGCCCAGGTTCTGCAGGGCAAGGGGACTGCATGGAAATGGGACTGTGGGCACCAGAACTGAGAAGAGATGTGTCTGCCACACTTTGCTTCTTTCCACTGAGTCTCACTTCTAACCTTGTGCCTGGCACCTCCAGAACACAGGGCAGGACTCACAGCCTTCAGGCGACAATCAACTTTCGAAGTAAGCAGAAGGGGAAACAGGCAGAGACACAAGACTCAACAAGGATTTAATAAGAAGCAGTGGCCCATCCTCCCCAAGACCTCAAATGATGTTGCCGGCTAGAAAATGAAGGCAGGTTTGTCAATGAGCAAAATGCTTTTGCTGTAAGGAGACCCTCTGCTTACCCACACTCTGTTCACCCTATTTTAAAACTTCTGCTGCAGAAGTGGGTAAAGATGTGGCAGCCATTTCTCAAGATTACTTTTGCAGAGGAAGGAGCTAAATGACAAAAATCTCCAGTGTTTGGAAAAAAAGATCCACTTATCACTAGGTGGTGGCGGCTGGGTGGGGGTTGGGTGAGTGAGGAGCCATCCTGAGCGTGTCCTCGGGTCCCGTGGGCAAGTAGTTGCTGCCAAAGCCGCTCATGCTGGTGGCTCTAATGAAGATATTTTCAGTTAAAAAAAAAAATTCCACCAATGAGAATGTGCAGAATAACTTCTGCTGTTGCCAAAATGCAGATATGCACAGAAAGGCCCGAACAATCCCTCCTGCGTGACAGAGGCAGCTTTTCACTGTGGAACCTGGAAAGACACTGATGTCTTCTTAATGCTTTTTATCCTCTCGAGGTTTCCGTGATGAGCGCTGCATCACTCCTACCACTAGAAGCAAAGTAAAGGCACATGGGCTTCCTCCACATTTTCCTTAGTTTCATCTGAAAACAGGGAGAATGGAGAGATGTGCTGGTGAGGGTGTGAGAGCAGGTGTCAGCCGGTGGGGGTCAGGGAGCAGATCGGAGAGGGGGCTCTTGTTCCCTGCACCATACATTAGCAGGAACATGAGCAAGCTTGCTTCTCCCCTAATGGTCTTTCTGCAGCCTGACGCAACCAGGCCACAACAGCAGGCTTTTTGGAACAACATCTGAAACAAGAATCAGTTGGCTTTGGTTTTGGTCCCTAGGGTCCGAGTTCTGGTACAGAGGCTTTCAGCATCTACCGCAACCTTCAGAGACCTTTTACGCTTCCTTTAAGGTTCACAGCAAGAACCAATGTTTACTGAACACACACAGTAGGCCAGGGCCATGGGTAAGGACCAAGTCTCCTAAAGCAGTGGTTCTCAACCTGGGGGTCGTGACCCCTTTGTAACAATGAAAATACATCCTGCATATCAGATATTTACATTACGATTCATAACAGTAGCAAAATGACAGTTATGAAGTAGCAACGAAAATAACTTTATGGTTGGGGGTCGCCACAACGTTAGGAACTGTATTAAAGGGTTGCAGCATTAGGAGGCATCAGGAAGGTTGAGAACCACTGTCCTAAAGCAACTGAGACTTCACAGCCACTGTCAGGAAGTCCTCAGACAGAGCTCACCACCTAGTGTGGGCATCTCATGGGGGCTTCAAGCACGGCGCCCAAGCAGGCTGGAGGCTGGGGTGGGATCTGGGGAAGTTTCTAAGAGTAGCCAATTCCCCAGGGGAGGAGCCAGGACAAATGGCAGTCGTCAGGAGAGGGAGACAGGATGTCACAGGCTGGGGTTGTTGAGTAGGAGGCTTCATGGTAATTGGATTGCTGTTTTCACAATCAAGTGTCTGTACAAAACACAAGAGGCTTTTTCTAGGGGTGCTTTATTTCACCCCATCCAAGGTTAACCACAACTGCAGACTGCAGGATTTCAGACCCTAGCAGTAAATTGGCTCACTTATCTACTGGTCTCTGCTAGAATTCTGAGCCCAGTCAGTGCCTGGGGTAAAACAGGTGGTAGCTCCCGGGCTTTGCTTGAAAAAGACTCTAGGAAATGTTGAAACGTGTCTCATACAATAAAATATCGGCTATGAAAACAAATCAGTCCAGAGGAATCTTACTCTTTCAGACTCACTGAGCCCTGATTAAAAGCAGAGACCCTTATCTGAAATCTTGAAAGGAGGCAGAAGATAACCTCTCACCTACCATTCCTCTCCCAGTCTGTGCTATTTAAGAACTAGTGTCAGCGATTTCTTGACAGACACTAACTCACCCTTCACAGACCCAACTAGATGAAGCATATTTTGGGAATCCTGCATTAAGGGAGGAGCTGCATGGAGGATTATGATTGCTGTGAGTCAGTCCTGGGGCAGGGAGGGGTTCCGAAATCCTACCCGAGGGAGAGACGGCAGAGGGGGTTGTTTCTGTATTTAAACCGATGCCTACAGCCATTTCAGTTTTTATAAACTGTGGCTTCCTAGAAACTGAGCCTGCACATTTGCCCAGCTTTACCTGAGCTTGGGCTCCTCTTAGTAAACTTCATCCTGCCCTGTGTGGCCCGCAGCAGCTGGGCTTGACCTCAGCTCTCCAGCCTTTGTCCGTGCCTAGCTCTGCCCTTTTGTCCTGACCTCAACCACTCACAAATGCAAGTCATTAAACCAGGTGAGGAACACCCGGGAACAAAGCAGCTCACAAATCCCTTTGTCCCACCCAGTACCAGTTACAGGCGCTTGGTAAGAATAGAATCTTGTTGTCACTTGCTCTAGTTCCATTAACCCACTGAAGCCTGGGCCAAGTCTCTGCCTCGGCTATCA